CACCGTCATTTATTTCATCGCGTTTACCTTTCGTTTATCAGTTCGCCAGTCACGAAGGATTCTACTCGATTCTCTCTTGCTTCAGTCAGTGAATCCGCACGATCCGATGCTCGGGTGACGTGAAATCGACGTAGCCACCCGTAGTGACCTCTTCGGACTTTGTGACCTCATCCTCTCGACATGAATTCTCTGGACGCAAGGCGGAAGAGGGGACTCCGAGGCGCGTGATGACGAGGCGCGATCTCTGGTGGCTCCCACGCCCTCGACGCCCCGCTCGTTAGTCGGAGTCAGCAGCGGTCGTCATCGACGTGTCATTCGGCACCGAAAGCCCGGGTTACCACGGGGTGGGGTAACATCCCGGAGCTACGAAGGACACGAAGAGACACGAGACCAGGAAGAGCTTCAATGTGCATCCATCCACTCGTCCCAACATCGAAGACCTGACGCAGCACACGCGCGGTTCCCGTCATCGAATCGATGCGCCAGCAAATTGTCACGCTCGCGGGAACGTTACGAGCGAAATTACGGATCAGTACGCGAATAGTATCACTGTGAGAGAATAACAGCGTCTGTCCTTTTGATAATTGATCTGATCTGATTTTACTCACGAAATTAGGTCGATGCTTATATGCTTTTACATCATAAGAAGTAGAAATAATTTTAATTATGTTAAACGAAATTTATGAGATTTGTACCTGTGTGTGTTATTATTTTTATTTTATAACTTTTTAAACGCAAATGAGTATAACAAATTTTAACTGATGTACATTTTGTAAATTATTGCGAATGTGTAGATCAATTTTATGTTATATTGATAGGTTTAGATACGTTATTCATCATTCGGTAACGTAATTGAATAACTCCGAAAATAACTCCGGAAATATTAGAACAGCTATCAATTCAAGAACCGGCTCCGCATCTAATATAGACATTTAATCCATCGTCTATTTGTACTGATTTGAATTCGGGCTACGAACGATCTCATTGTCTCGAGAATTGTCTTAGGGAGCAGTTTGCTCCTCAGGAAGACTACGGTTATTTCAGCTATACTGGTGCTGCTATCAGGGTAGCGAGCCGTGGATGAGGTTTGCGCACCGCGGAAAGGGGTCGTCTAGAGGCAATCGGGCTAAACTACGGACTCATTTACACACTTAGCTCCGCTTCCGCCTGGCTCGTTCTTGCCTCAACCCTCGGGAAAACCCAAATGGTTTTCATATTGTCTTTTTACCGCTCATTTTCATTTTATCGCTTGTTTGGCCACTGGGTCGTGCTGTTGCAATGCGCCGCGTTTCATTCAGTCTTTCTTCTCTCATTTTCATCTCGGATTTGTATTCGATGAAGGAACAAGAATCCCCAAACGGGATAGAATCAATCGATGTTATCATCGATGCCACTAATGAAATCACTGTAAATTTAAAAATATGTGTAATATATATCGTTACATATTTGTATTATTACTTAAGGAGGTATTGAAAAAATAATATATTGAGCAATTTGAATATGAATGTTACATAAATAAACGCATTTGCATATGAATATTTATAATAACATAATGAAAAAACTTTGAGAAATAAGCAACAAGTACATATCGTGTAGTGTACCGTGGATAATAAAAATTTTTGTTTCAAGTCGAACGTGCGCGTGTCACCACGACTATATAACGCTGTCTAGAGCGAGAAACCGTCGTAGAAAAGCTTCAACGTTACAGGGTCGGGAGTAGCCTAGAACGGACCGCCACAAGCACTTAAGACTATTGTTTTCAATGTAATTGGATAGCTTCTGCTTTCCATCTCCCTTCCTCAAGCATTGCTTCCTCCTTCGTTTGCAGCAGCTATCTCGAATTGTACGGAGGGTGGAAAGCTGGCAGTCCCCACATAGCTTCGACAATTATCTTGATTGTTTTATGCATACACCAACGAACCTACGAGCAACTTATCTCTGGAGAAGTCAAACCGTAAAGAGAAATTGTGGTACCGCTTTATGGAATGTTGTATATTTCTACGATTCAGCACTATTTAATATCGATGAGTGTAAAATAGATAATTATAATTACATCACGTTTACAAATTTAATAATATTCGAGCATTATTCATAATACATTTGTTAGCATTAAAAATAACACATACATTGTATATACATGTGTTTACGATACATATTAGTATAAATTCTTGCGAAATATATTAACTTTTGATCATCTGTATCACTATACAGAAAATAAGGGGAAATTAACTGAGAGAGATATATATTTTTTATATATACATATATACATATAATTGATTTGAATTTCGATAATCGAATGAAGCTCGCTCATCTTGCCAATCGGTCGATGTTACCATATTTGTGCGTCGATCATATGTCGTTTGAATCTAGAATTTAGTGTACATCGATTCGGTGTTGGATCGTTATGGTACTCTCGGAGATCCAGCGCCCGCGCGACCGTCTCAATCCTCCGCTCAACGCGGCTTTATACGCGGCGTTAGATATCCACGGAGATCCGATGGAAACTCTACGCCCAGACAATACGCTCAGCCGATTTAATTAGGATAAGAATCGCTCGGATCGGATATACACCGGCGCACAATGGGGTGTACCGGGGATGGCGGGTGGGGAACGGAGCCACGCTTCTGATGTATGTATATACCGTGGCTTGCCTCCAAGAAACATGATACAGCGTCGGTTGAGGAGGGGCTTGGAGGATGGATTTGTGGGCTGCGGCAGTATCCAAAAATACCGCAAGCTTCGGCAAAAAGTAACGATCGAGAACGAAAAGGAGGGAGAACGTAATACCGCGGGCGCCACGTGCTAATTATGTAAAAATATGATGCGGTTTACTCGCTCGCTCGCGATGCAGCCGCTGGCTTTTATGCGTAATCGAATCCTTTCGTACCAGTCAATAATTTGTAACGAACATCGTTTGCTGCATAACATTGCATAACGTTGATATTATATTGAATTTTACATGAATATATCATAGGGGTCTACAATATATATAAATGCGATTATTCCTTTGAATATGTTTTATTATTATTATATCTTAAAAGTTAAATGTAAAGCGATAAAATCGAAAATAACTAATGCTAAAGTATTTTTTAGTAGAAGTCGAGAAGATTTCAGTTTCCTTCTATATCGACAAAATTAATCGACACAACTCTCGCGTGTCGCAGATGCATACTTACAATTAGCTTTCGGAAGAAACGTCTCCATTGGGAACGCAACTGTTGGCGGACTATTTACTTGTGACGATTACGTTCATCTAATTTCATAATTGCAATTAATACGAGATTAAAATTGAGACATATCCACAATATTAATGCATCTTACTAGGTGTAATGTAATTGAGCGGTCTATTTTCTATACGTCGCGTGCACCATTTTTTAATGCTTTTCTACTAGTATTCTAACCGCAAAGATTTTACCCTGTTCGAGTAGATGTGAAAACAAAAATTTATTTTGATTTGCTGTTTCTTCAATCTTCTCTAGTTATAAAGTAGATAATTTTGGATAAAAAAAGTATGTGGTTGCTTATTTAAACTATACTAGATAATTAATTAATTTGGTTTTATTATGACAATTGATTTTATGCGATTGTCAATGTGTTACATATAAAGAAAAGAAACATTTAAACTCTGTGAAGGTTAATGTCATGCGAAAACAAAGATTGTGAATTTAACGTAGAATATATGCACAATGTCGCATATATCCTTTAAAAGTTTAGCATACGATTGAATGCGTCACAATGTTGGAAAGATTCTGTTTTTTCTGCGATTACGTGCAGTAGGTATCTTTTTCGGAAGAACGATTAGAACTCTGCCTGTAAGAGAATTACAGGCTTACATGGCACAACATCGAATACATGGAATATCCAGCAAATGAAAATAAGTATAATTTATCTAAATTTCATACGATAGATACACAAGATAGTTAAAATTTAATGACACAGAAAATTATAATCTTTATACACATTATAGGGTATCGCTACTATGTTTGCATCTATCGTTATTTAATATTTTAACATTTTTGTCTGAATGAGTAGTTTTATTTTTTTCTACAATAATTTATTTTACAGTAATTTACAAATATAGAAAATAAAAATAAATAAAAACTTTTTTAACGTTCAAAACAATACAATGATAGAAGGGGCAACAGGAATCGAGCCTGGAAATTGACATGTAAAAAAATACAAAATAAATTATAAATTCGATTCAATACATTAAAAAACGCGAAGATTTTTTTCTGTCGAATAATATGCGAATTTAAAGTTGAAACTGAATATGTCTTTTGTTTTGCTAATTTCCTCTACTACGTCAGTATCCTTGCATTTCTTGGGCGTTCTTTCGTAGTTTCTCTTTTAGGGAAGTGGGGCGATACAAGCAGCAACGTGTCGTGCTTGGCGCATCGTTTTGGCATAGCACAAGTGCATCTGCGTCGATGCAACCGCGCGATAAAAAGCAGTCGTCGGAACGCGCGATATATAAAAGGAACTTTTTGCCCGCATTGCTGTCTCTTTCACAGTCTCCTTCTATTCCTCTTTCTATGCTTGGTTTTTTTTATATTTTGCTGACTAGCAATAAATAATATTTCGCAGGTGCATTTAGACGACACAGCGCAATGTGTGGATCATCACGCAGATAAAAGTCAGCGCATGCAGCGCATAGTGTATTCTATATATTTATCTTATTGTTAGAATGCAATAAATCACTTGATGAATTATTTAAAAATAGGCCACACGTTCATCGGCGAGATGCGAAACGGCAAAGTGAGTGAGACCGAGAGAAAAAGGAAATTCTTTTATTTATCCTTATATTTTATGTCTGCTAATTATTACGCTCGATGCAACTGTTCTGTACTAATATGTAATAATTGCTATTTTTACCGGCAATTTCGCGCTAATTGGCACCTGAGTTTTTTACTTGCGTCGTATTAATGGTTACTTTGAGTATGCGAGATCGTTTATACTCAATTTCATTGCTAATTGAGCGGATTTACTTTTTTTGTTTACAGCATCCGTATCCCTCGGAAGACCAGAAAAAACAGTTGGCACAGGACACGGGGTTGACGATCCTTCAAGTTAATAATTGGTGAGTGCATTATCTCTTACATTTTATATTTACTACGCACAAATTTTATAGTTATAATTATCAGACGCAAAAGAATTGGGTATTTAAAAAATTTCATGAAGAAATCAATTGAAAATTCTTATTCTTTTTAAGTTTAATTTCTTAATTTGTGATTGTTTTTCCTAACTTTAATGTTATATAATTGAAAAAATTTATTATATAAATTTAAAATATATTACACAGAATGAAAATGCATTGCTCTAAAATTTGAAATGTATTTTATTTTAAACACATTTGTCATTACAAAAACATGATAAGCGGGAATTTTATAGAGTATTCAGATTTTTTGCGTGTTTGCAAGTGTAAACAAATTTATCTCTCAACCATGATCGAGTCTTCCTGAGCGACGACGATCGAAAGCTCGCTGTATGCGTGCCAAGCGAGAAACTTTTTCTAGACCGGCGGGCATGAGAGCGACGAACGGGCGCGGGCGTCGAATCATACGGCACGTCGCACGTGTCATATGCGAATTCCAGACACCCTGAAATTACGCCCGTACATCAAACGGAACGAGGCGTGCACGACCGGGGCTCGGCCGGCACCAGCGATTGCACGTTGACGTTGCAACGAGCTGATTATTTCAGCGCGCCAATCACGCGAGTACAAACGGCGCGGTAGGCGTATGCGTGTCAGCGAGTCAAACAGGCGAACTGATTTCCGTAATTTGTGTTTTTCCATGACCTCAAGAAAGCTCTGATTGTAGCTGTAGTTTCGTGACTTCGATTTCATTTGTTCTGACGCGTGCATCATCGACAATCATATGATTTCAATAAACACATTTTTTATCTGTGAGATTTCTAGAAACGTTACTGTGTTTTAAGAAAGAAAGAAAAAATTCTCTGAAATTACAAGAGCTATATAATATGTTAATTATTTTAAAAGACTAATACAATTGATATTTTAAAACATTATTGCATCTTTGCTTTTTTTTAAACAGAAAATAGAGACACTCTTACTTTTCACGGCATATGTTTAGTATTAGAATAATGAACGGAATATTTGATCGTATTGATTTGGTTTGCAGTAATTTTCACACTTCCTTACAATTTATTTACTCCCAATCGGAATTTATAGTATGCTTCGTCTCTAGCGTGTCTCACAATTATAGGAATGAAGAGCTCGTAAAATGTTATTTATGCGCCGCGTTTATTACGCATCTTTAATCTTAGTGCAAAGAGTGTCGTATTGAATATTATACTATAACTTATATTTTTGTGCCTTTACCTGAATCGTCAGTCAGTAATAGGTAACTGCACTCTCAGCAATCTATTTTTCATGGTCAATATTGTTTTTACTAAATTTCCTAATTTTTACAAAATTTTCTTTTCTTTCGAATGAGATACTTTTACGTACTTTTTTTTATCTTTTCTGTATTTTCTACTATGAATGACTATCATATTGGTAGATATAATATTTAAATCGTTTGCAAATATTTGATATCGGTTACCGATTCTTTATTGCAATTATATATCTCTGAATATTCTCATTATCTCAATTTTTACGGAGGTAGTAACTTGTTATGGAGATATCTAACATTTCGATAATTCAGTTCACTCGATAGATAGAATCATTCGTATTCGAAGACATTTCCGTGAAGACGTTGCGTCGTTGTGTCGTCACAGGTGTGACCGATAAGATGCGGCACGATTGCACTGGTGGAATCGTAAGGAGCTTACGATAAACATTACGATAGATGTAGATCTGGGTCTTTCATGGTTAGAGCGCATATTTATAGTCCACAAATCGTTCACTATTAACACAGGCAATCTGTAGATATCGTGATGGATATGTACAAAATATATACATAAAAGTGTAAATCATAAAACATTCATATAGATAGTTACAAATGATAAGTAAAAAAAGACAATAAGACAAAAAATTGCTACGAAATTTAGCATATATCTTTAATAGTGATAATAATTAATAAATTATAAATTGCTTCTCTCTCTCTCTCTCTCTCTCTCTGCGTGCATTTTACAATAATAAATTTAGTATGCACTTTGTAAGGCATAAGCAATGGCTTATGCCTTACAATGTGCTTTCGCAACGATATCCAAGTTAATTATTCCAAATATAGCTATCGTCCTATTTATCATAATGGAATAGTTTTTCCTCAAGTTCTTATATCTTATTTTGTATGACGTTTATCTTTTAACAAACGTCCAAGTAATTAATCGTGATATTTTCGGTGTTTGTAAATTATTACACGATAAAGTGTAATATTCGATTTTCTGCAATTTATAATCTAAAAGGAGAGAAATAAGATATGTAGCTTTTACGATATAATGGTCTATATTGTTCTGCGTCGATATATTGTATTTTTGATGAAAAGCTTACGAAGCATTATTTTTAAAACTTATGAATGATTTTATAGAACATAAGCATGTAAGTTTAAAAATTATTACTAGATGCAAAAATAATGTAGCATTCTTGCATTTTTTATATTTCAAAGATTTTTGCAATTTCTATTGTTCACGATGTGACAATCGTTTTTCGATAAAGTTTCTCACGATATTTTCGGAACTCGTAGATTATTAAACAGCTAACCGCATTACTTCGAGGACAGGTTTTCGAGAACACGATCGTCGTCGCGACCGTTAATTCCCTACGATCCGGTATTAGTTAGAAAGGGTTAAGACGACGTGGAGAGCCGTCCTGTGGAAGCTTAGTCCTTTCTGTCCCGCGGAGAGAGAGAAATCCCCCGTTTCTTCGAGTTGATCCACCCCACCTTGTCTTCCTTCCGGCCTTTCTCCTAATAACGGGGAATGGGCCGAGGCTTGCAGTACCCTCAATCTCGCCATCTTGATAGATGTTTCCGCATGGCACCTGCGTCGGCATCCGAATTACTACGGGCCCTGTTTACCGTGATATTTAAACGACGTAGTCGCATCACAATCCGCCTTCTTCTCTCCTCGTCTCTCGTGGATGAAATCATGTCGCGCCGCAGTAATCTCTTTGGCTAACTTTAGCGGGAGCGAAGATCGAAATAATCCAGGTTGCCGTCGTTCCACGGGGATGAATCGAGCGAGCGTGCATACTCGACACATTGGCGGAATTGGTAGAGGGTTCGGGACGAAGGGAAAGGTGGATCGCGCTTCTGGCCAGATATAAAATACGAAACGAATTACATCGGTACACGACGGAATATGCGAAGCGTCTTCTTCACTTTTCTCTCTCTCTCTCTCTATCATTCTTTCAGTTTTTCTTTTTTCCTCTTCTTCTTCCTGTTGCGCCGCGACGCTGTGGAGACGTGGCTGGTTAGCTTGCAGCGCATATAAATAAAATCGTCGCGACATTCGCGAACGTTTCGCGTTGGCTTATAACAAGCGGGAACGAAGTGGATGCGAGGACGGAGGATTACGGTAATTGAGCATAAATCAAGTTTAAGGAGGACCCACCGGTAGCGATCCACGAAGTTGACGCTGCGGTGAAGCCAGCCGCGCGGCGCATCGTTTATATTTATTTCCATTGCGTTTCTGGACACCCACGCAAAGCTGCGGTAATTACGGAATTGCAGCGCTTCGTCGTCGTACGTACGGTGCTAATTGTGTCGACAATCGGAAAAGGGAGGTGGGGGGGGGAGGGGGTTGGATCTGGAACATTTGGCAAGAGCTCGATGTTTACACGCAGTATTTTTCACCATGTCAGTATTCCTCAGATATTTCTCAAAAAATGTACGTCAAAATTTACGTCAGAAAATATATTTTCTTATAAATCTCACTGCATGAATGGAAGCAAATTTTAATTTATTTTGGGTTAATTAGTAGCGCGTTATGAATAATGTTTACAAGTCTTTCCTTTTCTTTCAAATTTCAGATCAAATTATTGATTGGTTATCATTTTGTGCATTTTAATAACAGTAAGGAGTAACAATATGGAAAAAAGCGATATTTTTTATACTTAATTATTAAGTATATTAAGATTTTGAGAGAAAAAGAGAGAGAGAGTTCATAGGGGTATGTTCTTTTTGAAAGTACTGTGCAGAAACTTTTTGTACTTAGTACGCACGGTACAGTTCAAAATGTCGTCACAGTGCACACGGTATAGATAGATTAGTGTGAGTTCAAGTTCTCAAAAAGAACGCTTTGATACATACACAGCACATCTCATGCTATACGCTGCATCGCCTCGAGAGATGGTACAAAAGTTCTTGTACCTAAGCACCAATTTTCAAGTGTTTCGTTGAAATAGAACGCGTGCACTATTTTGCAGTGACGTCAGTTCTGGCAAATAAAACGTAAATTGTTCTGCACTAGGTACAGAAAGTGCATGCACCGTCGTAAAAAAGAACATACCTCATGTCATACGTCGTTTCTTGCAGCACTATTTTTTCAGCTCTCAACTCCGTTTCTTTTTCTACAGCAAAGCTTAAAAGAGCTGCTCGATTTTTATCTTTCTCCACGTATTGGCCTATGAACTTCTGTTACTAGGATCCATCTCGAGTGAAAAAGAGAATAGAGAATGAGAGAAAGCAAACTGCTCGCGTTTTTGCATACTGAGACAAAAGTGCACGTTGTGATGTACGATTCGCGTGGGTGGGCAGGTATATGTATAAGGATGCGCGACGTAGACGGACTTTGGAGACTTGCACTTGTGCCCGAAGTGCATACGAGTGAGCCCACGGCAATTTCTTCGCGGCGCGATAAGTTTCGTGATATATTTCGCTGGAGGAAACTCATGTTTCCGTAATGCAATTAGAGCATGGCCATTGCCCCCGCGTCTCACAACGCGTTGGTTGGACAAGGGAAGCACCTACGACCACGATGACTATATAAGAATAGTGGCAACGGCGCGCGGTGGCTCAGAAATGGCTGCTCTAATTAGAATACACTGGACAAATGAAACAATTCGTAAATAAAATAGCCGAGAAGCATCTATGTGCATTGAGGAGGAGACCATTCCCCCGGACGCTTTCCCTCGTTCTCTCTTACTCTCGTTTTCACCCTTCGTCCACAATTTTC